TATCCGGCATTGCTGTCGCCAGTGAGGTATCCAACAGGTTTCGTCGCCCCGTTTCCAGCCTCGACCTTTCTGGTGATGCTGCCTTTGGTGACTCGAGCTTGCCAGCTGCCCACCGCGCTCCTCCAAGCTGGACTGGCATCTTCGCTCTTGAACCAGGCCACCATGGACAGCTTGTCCGCTGGTTGGTATGGAATCGCGGCCTTGGTTCGGGAGGGAAGGCGAAAAGGCCATGAATGGAGCAGAAGGCTAATTCAATATTGCTGGTTTCCTATTGAGTGTGAGTGGACCGGACTGTCGTGCAGGTTTGCATCCTTCCCACCTGGATTTTCCAATTCAGGTACTCCATGCTGGTCCACATCTCGTCTTCGGAAAGCGCCCGATTCCACGTGATGACCTCCATAACACCGAAGTCTGAGGCTTCATTGGCGAAGCCCTCGTTGATGTACAAGTGGAAGTCTGCGTTCAGCTGAGGACCGTGACCGGTAGCGATATTCTTCCCGTCCTTGCCCACGAAGACAACGCCCTTATTGTTGCCACACATCACAAGCCAATCGGTACTGCTCGGACTTTGATGGGGCGTTACCCAGCCATGGTAATAAGCCACACCTGTTTGGCGACTCCAATGGCCATGGAGGAAGTTGGGATGATGACCAGTTTGAAGAATGCGGGCGTGTATGCCTCCTTCAAGATAGCGGGTGATGGAACAAATCGTGAACTCCGGCTTCATGATCTTGCCGAAATCTAATCCGGCGTTGGTGAGGCCGGTGAGGTGTGCCACGGGTACTGCAGCCCCACTGCCTGCATTGAACCTTCTGGTCACGCTGCTCTTCGTGACGTGAGCCTCCCAGCTGCCCACTGCGCTCTTCCAAGCTGGACCAGCATCCTCGCTCTTGAACCAGGCCACCATGGAAGACTCTGCAGATGGCTGATGTGCAAGGTGTGCCTGAGTTCGATCATCAAGCGAGTTTTGTGCTGACGATCAAATTACAGGACTTCTACAGTCTACAGGGCTGGAGTCAACATTGGATGTGTCAGCTAAAGCTTATACTGCAGCACGTAGCACTGAACTTCTACATTGACATGCATCCGTCCCACCTGGAGCTTCCAGTTCAGGTACTCCATGCTGGTCCACATCTCGTCTTCCGAGAGCGCCCGGTTCCAAGTGATGACCTCCATAACACCGAAGTCTGAGGCTTCATTGGCGAAGCCCTCGTTGATGTACAGGTTGAAGTCAGCATTGTGGAGAACACCGTGGCGGACGGCGATGTTGCGCTGTTCGTTGCCCACGTAGACAACCCCCTTATTGTTGCCACACATCACAAGCCAATCGGTGTTGCTCGGAATGTCCGAGGGCGTGACCCAAGCGTTGTAGTAAGCCACGCCTGCGCGGTGACCATGGTGGCCATGAAGGAAATTGGGAGAATGACCAGTTTGGAGAATGCGGGCCATTCTCCCTCCGTCAACATAGCGGGTGATGGAACAAATCGTGAAGTCCGGCTTCATGATCTTGCCGAAATCGTATCCGCTGTTCGGGTCGCCGGCGAGGTATGCCACAGGTCTTGTAGCCCCGTTTCCAGGCTCGACCTTTCTGGTAACGCTGCCCTTCGT